GTTCACTTTCTAGCTCCTCCTCCAATGTTGTTGTGCAATCCACCATCTCTACGACAATATCTTGTGATATTCTAATTCCCACTCAAGTAAAGTTTCTAGTGACAAATATCAGATGTATTATTTCAACCCCTCTCACTGTCGACAACAACCCCACCTGGAAGCCTCAAATCGTTAAAACCTTTTTTAGCAAATGGATATGAGGGCTTTCTCATGGGAACCTGTAGCAAACCATATCCTACCATTTTTGATCCTACAGGTGCAGAAACGCCCAATTCTGATTTTACCAAGTTGTTTATCATAGATCAAAACTTGGTCGATGCACTATATTTCGTTATTTCTCCATTCATTCTTCCTTATGTGCTCAACCTGGAAACATGTTCGGAAGTGGAAGATAGTGTAACATTGACTACAATCCACCAATGTATCAAAAATAATGCAGATCAAGAATGAGCTTCGTAATACATCATTGAAAGATAAAACTATCGCTCAATATCATTCAGAAATCAAGACCAATATTGGTATCTTGGTTGCTGCAAGAGCCTCTCTCGACTCAGAAGATATCATTTTGTATGCTCTTGATGGCCTTCAATCCCGCTATCATGCGTTTAAGTCCTCTATCAGGACCAATCTTCAACCTCTCAACCATGATGATCTCTTTACTCTCGTATGTAGTGAAGAGCTTAACCAAGAGCACAAGAAACATCCAAAGTAATACATTAGTCTAGCCACAAACCTCTTGTTGCTAATAAGGGTTGAGGTCGGTCCAAGAACTTCCAGCCTAACCCAAACTGCAATCAGACTTCCTCGAGTTCTTGCTCCAGCAATAATAATCATCCCTTCCCATGATTCTCTCTCATCACATGTTAGATATGCAACAAATCTGATTATTCAGCATTCAAGTGTTGGCACCGCCGCGATAAAAATTATCAGCAACCAACAACCTCAATCACTGAATCAACTGGTGGTGCCAATCAAAATTGATACTTAGATGGTAGAGACATCGAATATCTAACTATCGATACCAACCAGTTGACCATCACTCAAGTTTACAAAGGCGATAGTTCCATCACTATAGGAAATGGGAAACAACTTTCCCTTGCCCAAACCATTCAAGGTTTACTCCCCACACCTAAGATGATTCTTTATTATATTCACTGTATTCCTAATCTTGCATATAATTTACTTTTGGTTAATCAACTCAGTCTTGATTATTTTTATTGCAAATGGGTATTCTATGAAGGATATGCAGACCAATAAAGTTTTGTTTGAAGGATAATGCGTGCACGAACTCTATTCAATCATAGCTAACAAGCCATCTACACCACTATCCCGATCATTGGCTTCATTCCAACAAGTTCCCAATCTCTAGCACAGACGGTTCGGTCACCCCTCCTAAAAAATTCAAAAGATTATAACTCAAGGTAATCCAGTTTTATGTTGTTCTGATAATACATTTTCTCTATGTAATTCTTGCAATATTTCCAAGCATTTTAAACTTCTCTTTAGCACATTTAGACTTAATCCACTTAGATTTATGGGCTTTTCCACATCCCTTCTATGCAACCTTATAAATATTATGTGATTTTTGTGGATAATTTTTCTAAATACACTTCAAAGCAAACAAGAAACTATTGAAAAATTTACTGAATTCAAAAATCTTGTAGAAAATCATTTTAATAATCACATAAACATTCTTCATAAGATGAATGCCTTAATTATCACCTCAGCTCCTTACTCAAATACTGAGATATCTAATATCAATGCACTTGTTCCTATACCGCTGAACAAAAAGAGTTTGCTGAAAGAAAGCATAGACATCTTATCCGAACTACATGCACCCTTATCAACGAAGTTGCTTTACAATATTTTTTATTGGCCAACACTCTGCTTATAACGCTATTTAATCAACAGATAACCTTCCAAGGCGACTCTCTCTAATTCCCCCTATGGGGTGTTACATGGAAAATAACCCACATATACTTAAAATCTCCAGTTGTTAACTTTATCTTTGGCTTAGACCTTACTCTAAATTTAAATATTTCCTCTCTCCAAAAGTTGTGTATTTATTGGATCCCAATTATGCATGTCTTCTCAAAAAAGCTATCTACGACCTCAAACAAGCACCATGAATGCGGTCTATAACTTTCACTAAATATTTAAAACAATTAAACTTTCAAAATAGCATCGTCAATTTCTCTCTTTTTTGTTGTCATAAAAGCGTCTCACACATTTATATTCTCATCTATGTCGATGATGTTCTATTAACTGGAAATAATCCACCTCTCATTCAACACATCTTACACAAACTTAACATATACTTTAACATAAAAAAGTTAGGTCCAATCTCACAATTTCTTGACATTTCTACCACCACAAACACACAAGGGATACATCAAAATCAAATGACCTATGCTCATCAAATACTTACCAGCACAGGGATGCTCAACTTCAAACTAGTTCAAAATCTCACAGCTCAACAAAAATCCTCTGACGAAAACAATCAAAGTTTATTTCATGATCATTCTTTCTATCGTTAGATTATTGGTTCTCTACAGTATCTCACTCAAACAAGGCAAGACGTCTCTGACGTTGTCAATCAGGTTAGTCGGTCCATGCATTAACCTACACAGCATAATTTCCAACAATTGAAGAGCATTCTTAGGTTTTTTCAAAACACCAAAGACTTCAAACTTCCTATATGTAATGGAAATCTACAACTTACAACATATGCCAACTTAGATTGGGATGGTGATGCCATTGAACATAAATCTACTACGGAATAATGTATCTCTTTTAGCTCAACATTCATTTCATAGGCTATTAAAAAGAAAACTACTCTGGCTCAACCTTTACTAAAGCGGAATATGATGCTCTTGCCACCACTGCTACTAAGATTTTTTGGCTTTGTTGATCATTAGAAGACTTTCAACAAAGTATTTCTCAACCAACCACTCTATATTGTGATAACACATGTGCTATTGCTCTGGCTAATATTTTTGTTTTTCAAGCGAGGAATAAACATTTTGAAATAGTTTGCCACTATATTTGAAAATGCATTCTTAACAGGAAAATTCAGATTCATAACATCGCTACTTTGGATCAACCAACAGATTCCTTTACAAAAACCTCTCACTAATGTTTGCTTCAAGTACACTTGATCCTTACTCACAATCTCTCCACCAAATTATCAGCTTGAAGACGATGTTAAGTATTCAATTCGAGAAAGGAATCCATGGATCTCTAATGATCATCTTGCCTTGTTTTCCTATATATAGGACTTGGTGTAAGTAGGTTGTTTTGTTTTTTCTCTTCTACTTTATTTCCCTTTCTATATGTTATTTCATTTTTTCTTTCTCTACATATTTTTATTTTTCATACATCAATAAATCTTCTTTTCATTTCGCTCCCCATTGGCTTTCATTTTGCATGCCATCCTCACTCATCCTCTACGCCGAAGACTTCATCGCCAACCAGCACGTTCGCTCGATCAGAGATGGCCTGAAGTATTACATGCAAAATCTATCTTATACTAAGTTGTCTTTTTATGCTGGAAAATATGTATGCATTTCAAGCAAATGCCATACATTTCGTTTCTCATTTTATCAATTTAGCTAGAAATTGTCTTCTGTCACGGTTATCATGGAAAGAGTTAGGGTCTTTACATGTTCAAAGCAATTAAAAATCAGCTCTTGCCACGAAAGAAAATTAAAATCAAATGAAGAATTCATGTGGATGTGCTATACAAATCCAAGAGTGAGAACTGGATAATATTCTCATTTCTCATACAAAAAGTTGTGTTGGATCAAAAAATGTCTGTAAAACACACCCAATGAATGAAATGTGATATTAGAAGAGAGAGAGAGAGTACTAATAGACAAATAAAATGTGTTCTTTATTAATAATATGGACCCCTATCTATAAGCCTAGATCACAATATTATTAAAGTAGATATTACCCATTTCATTGTTAACTTTTTGAAATAGGCATTTAGGTAATTAAAGAGTTATTTGCGTATAATAAAACAAGGGTTCGATTCGACCGATGAAGGTCAGTGATTCACCAAACAAAATCCTTCTAAACCATTCTTCCAGAGTACTAATAGATAGATAAAATGTGTTCTTTATTAATAATATGGACCCCTATCTATAAGCCTAGATCACAATATTATTAAAGTACATATTACCCCCTTCATTGTTAACTTTTTGAAATGAGCATTTAGGTAATTAAATAGTTATTTGCATATAACAGACAAGGGTTTGATTCGATCGATGAAGGTCAGCGATTCACCAAACAAAATCCTTCTAAACCATTCTTCCTTCCACTGCACCAACTTTGATGCAAATATTATAATTATTAAAATTATGTGAAGATGAATGAATTATTTATTTATAATGCTAAATTCGTTTGTAAATAAGTTTTATGTAAGCATCGCGCTTGGCCTCGGCCGACTGACGGCGTCAAATGTCGAAGACCAAGATTCCCATTTTCAAACCAAATTAAACCCCGAGCTGCCGCCACCGTTAGCAACAACAACGGGAGCAACCGCCCCGCCCTTCGCCGTCCCGGAAACTGATCCCTACGCCGCAACCGCCGTAGCTCTCGCCGAGAAACTCCTCCCTAGAATGGGCCACCGCCCTGACATTCCTAACCTCAAGCTTCTCCATCCACGCCCGACCCCTTCCCTGTACCCCCTTCGCCAGCTCCCCTCTCCTCTCCACGAGAAACCGCGTAGCTCGCCGACCGACGAAGTTCCCCCGCCGCCATGATCTCCCGCCTGATATCCTCCGGCAATCGCAGCCTAAATCTCTCCCCGGACTCCCAATATGTTGCCGATCGCGAAATCATCGGAACCCTCTTCACCGACCCTGATCTCGCCTCCCTCCTCAGACTCTCAATCCTCACCAAATTCTCTAGATCCGGATGCCGATCCTCGCCGTCCGCCACCTCCTCAACAGAGATCGACACCACATCAACCATCTCCGGCTGCTGATCCTGATTTTCGGCGGCGAGATTGGTTCGGCAAACAGGGCAAGTGAAGTGGGTTGCGAACCAGACATCGATGCAATCGCGGTGATACACATGGCTGCATCTGGGTAGAAGACGGAGAACATCATCGTCCTCAAACTCGCAGAGACATACCGCACATTCAAGCGATTCTTTCCCCAATTTCTGCGCCTTCACCGACGAGTACACCATCGTCGGAAATTTCTCCAGCAAATATGAATCCAAGCCTTTCTGAACCTCGCGTCTCGATTGCCCGCCTCCGATCCCGGCGATCATGGCTGGTGCGACGGCGGAGTTGTCGCCGGTACACCGGCAGATGTAGATGTAGATGGCGAGTAGAACGAAGGCAATGACGATCGTTATGATCAGGATGGTCAGATTTGAGTTGACGCTCTTGTTGTATGAGTCGTCGCCGGTAACCGAGGGTCTCGTCGACAGCGGCCGGGCTGCCGCCGGCAGGAAGGTGAGCATGAGGAAGAAGGCGATGAGGAGAGCCGTTGATTTGGTTGGAAAAAAGCGGGAAGAAGAGATCGAACGGTGAACAGCAGCTGCCATTGCCGGTATGGTTAGTGTAATGAGAAGGGAGAGTGGAAGTGAATATATAGGCACGGGGTGGCTGCACATGACACGTGTCCTGCAACGAATTTCTTTCTTATTTTCTTTCTCACTCTTTTTGCTCTTTGTGATCTCTTCTTCGAGAGTCTACTGCTATTAATTTATATAAATTATTTGAAACATTTAGAAATTAAAAAAAATTATGTATAATTTTTTTTTCTCTTTAAATTTAACTTCAATGATGATATGAATTTGATTTATGTGGTGCTTTCGGGTTTATATTTGATAAATATTTTATTTTTAGATGTTGGACACATGATTTCAAATATGTGAAAGAAGATTTAAAAGATGTGTGAAAAGCCACCAACAAATTTTTATCATTAGACGTGAATCTCGAGGAATGTTGTAGATATATGTATGATTTTTTGAGCAAGTAATGTTTAAACTTTGATTAAAACGAATTGAGAGCTAAAATTTCAACTAACTTACATTCAAACTGAACAACTTGATGAAACAGACCAAATGATATCAAAACTGATCTAATTTAAGTCAAATCAAGCTCAGATCAATACATTAAACAGTTTTTAAAAATTTTTTGAGTATATTTGGGAGATAGAGCAGATTCCAATTTAGGCTAGCCCATAGTCTAGTCGAGTGTCTAAACAAGACGAATCCAACATGCCCAAGATCGTTCATTTTTTTGAGTATATTTGGAAGATAGAGCAGATTCCAATTTGGGCTAGCCCATAGTCTAGTCGAGTGTTTAAACAAGACGAATCCAACATGCCCAAGATCGTTCAATTCCGAGATCATTAAGGCATACAAATGTCTATCAAATGTAGTTAGTCTGATCAAGGCAATCTTTTTGGGTCGTCCGATCAGTGGTTCATATTTTTTCCTTAATTGCAACTGATACTCTATATATAGAGTTTCAATCCAAGCTTTGAGATTAATGCTGACGGTTATGGTGTATACATATTAGTTCCGTGTATTTTCTTCTGCAATCTACGAACATTAAAGCATTTAAATGTTCACTGAATGTCATACAATTGAAAGAATTTCACTAGACCTTCTAATGGAGTAGCATGAATTTGTTCTTATTTTTTGATTGACCTCTCCAAGACTTTATAAATAGTGCACTACCCTCCTCTTGAGAGGCAGGGATACCTGAAGTTAAGAAATTTAATTTCGAAGCTCAAAGAAGGAGTTGAAGCTTGCAATTGTTTTTGCATCAAATGTCAAACGAATTTTATTTGCTTTTGTAGCTACCGACCACCATCAACCAACATCGGTCGACACATCCTCCTTCCATCGATGTCCCATTGTGGAGTCATAGCGTGCAATGCAGAATCTCAGCGCCCGGTTGAGTGTTGATCTCTTCCGCCGTGATAAAGGCAGGTCGACCACTTAGCTGAAATTAAGGATTCTACACTGCACCTCTGTCGTTCCAATCTCTTGACATTGTGTGTTGGTTGATTCTTAACCAAGTGGTTGGCAGTAAGGCGTCAGGACACCTTGATTATCTAGTCATTATCTTGTCCGTTTGAATGCTTTAATATTAGTGCTGACAGTTGTGGTGTATAGATATTAATGTGAAATTTTTCTCAGTGATCAATAAACATTAAAACATTTAAATATTCTCTGAACATCGTACGATTGAGATAATTTCTTTGGGTCATCTAATAGAGTTGTATGAATTCCTTCCTTACTTTTGGATACACCTCTCCAAGACTATAATAGAGCCCTACCATCATTTTGAGCGGCGAGGATACCTGAAGCTAAGAGATTTAATTCCAGAGGATGGAGAAGATGGAGCTAAAGCTCAGTATTGTTTCTGCATCAAAGAACCAACAAATTCCATTCACTTTTGTAGTCGTTGATCACCATCGACCAACATCGGTTGACACCTACTTCTTGCTTCAACGTACCTTGTGGAGTCACAACGTGTAATGCAGAATCCCAACGTACATTGCAGAACATAGAAACACTTAGTGGAATATTACGTCTTCCAATACATTGTGCAACGACACACCCGAAAGTCTGCATATCGACACATCTCGAATAGCAAGCAACAACATACCCCAATCAAGTTGAAACAATGTACCCTATATACGATGAAACGACGCCTCTTAAGAACGATATAGCAATGCACCGCAAAATACAATGACTTTTTACGGACTCCTTATGCTCTCTCCTTACAGCCAATCATTACATCTCTTGTGACCAACTATGGCATGCGTGGTCCACAGCTCATGCCCAACTCCAACCTCAGTTGCATACGAACGTCATCACAACTCCTTGCTCCGGCCTCTGCGACTTGTAAACGTCATTGCAACTCACCACTACGACTCATGTGTCTAACTACTGCCTATTTAGTCCTCAACCCATGCAGCTCCTACCTCCGGCTCACGTGACCTACGAAGGTTTTCATAGCTCTCTGCTATGACTTATGTTACCAACTACGAACTGCATGATCCGCAACTCGCGTAACTCCCGACCCCCGCCTCTGTGATCTATGAATGTCATCATAGCTCACTACTATAAACTAAATTACTAACTATGGTCTATGCGGCCCACAACTCATGTGACACACAACTCCGACCTCAGCAACCTACCAAAATTTTCACAACTCAACACTCTGACATACGTGATCAACTATAATCAATGTAACTCATAGGTCCATCAACTTCCTATCACAAGACTTGCGTTGAGATTATATGCAACGCGAATTTTAAAGCAAGTAATGATTAATAAAACCATGAGTATATCAGCACACAATTTATTTCCTCCAAAAATCATTTAATTAAATTACAAGACCATCCAATCGAACATTTTTATTCCGAAAAATTAAAAATTTCTATTTTAAGTTTAATAAACGACTAATAAATGAGTTGCTAATCAATAATTAAATTTTAAAAAGCTCATTTATTAATGTCCCATTTTTAATCATAAGATATGACCCCAAGCTCTCGTATTCTCATCTGATTTACATATCTATCTATATTTAATGCAACAGCGTTAATAAATTAAAAAATTATTAAATAAATAAATTAATTAATTAATTTGGAAGACATACCAAAAAGATTTTGTTTATATAAAATCAGTATGTCCCCTATCTCCAATATCTTTTAGATTTATTATAAATCATTAAATTTTTATTTTTTATTACTTTTCTTGCATTTAATAATTATTTGATAGAAGTAGAGAAAAAGCATATGAGACCCACATTTTTATTGAGCTATTATTTTTATGCTGCTTTCTAAAAATTTTTATGGTATAAAATTTTTTTGGGGGCATTTACATCGAAACAAGGTTTAGAAAATCGGACCTGGCCGATCAATCTTGAATCGGTGGTTAATCTTGTTTAAATCATATAAAAAATAATTTCTAGGTTTGAACCGCCCAGAATATGTACATCGACAAACTAGTCAAAATCTTGGATCAGCCCTGTGCGCCCAATTCTGTGCGATCTTGATGGGCGTAAAGACCCGCATCGTGGCCTACACTCGTGTTACAGAGCTTGACCACCTTCCGATCCTTGACCGACGAGACTCCTGATTATATATATATATATATATAGCTTTAATTTTTACATGCATATACTTAAATTTTTAATATTCCATAAAACATATTATAATCCAACAATTTAAAAGTCAAATGCAATCTTTTATGAATTGGTTTATAATATCAGTGTTATAAATATAAAATATTAAATTCTAATTTTTTAAATATATAAATACATAACTTTTCCAAATATATATTTATATATCAAACTTTAAATCTTATTTTTTAACAATTATATTATAATCATTATTTCAAAAAGAAAATAGCATATTTTTCAAATGAACCCCTGGAATTTGCTGCATGTCTCGTTAATTTAAACAAATTGGTGACGCAAGCACTGACAAGGTTAGTTCTATAATTTATAATTTCGTCAGCTTTGGCAGATGTTCACCTCAAAAAACTTTATTTCGTGAGGGGGAGATGCATGCGATGTCTAATATCCGATCTCTATCTTAGATCATCTCTAGTGATGATCAGACACCACGTGCATTTCTACATGCGGTGTCCGCAGGGAATAATTTTTCGCCTAAGTCAAATTTATTTCCTCTTCAAAAAAATTAATGCAATTAATAATAATAATAAAAATAAAATAGAGCTATTAACTTCTAGAAGACAACGGAAGGGTAGCCTTGACCATCCTTCCAGAAGCCGAACCCTCTTCACGTCCAATTTTCAAAACAAACCAAGCTGCACGGCTTCTAATTTCTTTATTTTATTTTTATATTTACATATATACCACCTTAATTTTTATGCGTCCATGCATCCAACATTAAAATTTTATTTTATATATATATATATATATGTCATAATAATAATCATATAAAATTGCATTAATTTCAAAATTAAGAAAAAGTTTTAATGATTAAAAAAGTAATAAAAATATATTCAAATGTGAAATTTTGAGTCGAAAAACATGATGGTTGAAAAACAACACCGAACCTTCCACCGCAGCAATTCCTCGCAAGACACGTGTCATCTGCAACGACACCGTACCCATATATTCACCGCCGCGCTCCCCCACTCCCTTGCTCATTCTGCTGCCACGCCCCAAATGGCCGCTACGGTTCACCGTCCGATCTCTTCTTCCCGCGATTTTCCAACGAAATCAACGGCTCTCCTCACCACCCTCATCCTGATGCTCACGTTTCCGCCGGCGATGGCCCAGCCGCCGTCGATGAGACCCGCCGTTAACGGCGACGACGACTAAACGAGCGTCAGCCCAGCTCTGGCCATCCTCGTCGTAGCCATCGTGAGCGCCTTCTTTCTACTCGCCTTCTTCTCCATCTACCTCCGACGGTGTTCCGGCGATAATTCCGCAGTCGCGCCAGCCTTGCTCGCCGGAATCGGAGGCGGGCGGTCGAGACGCGGTGTTCCGAAAGGCTTGGATTCTTCTTTGCTGGAGAAATTTCCGACGATGGTGTACTCGTCGGTGAAGGCGCAGAAATTGGGGAAAGAATCGCTTGAATGTGCGGTATGTCTCTGCGAGTTTGAGGACGATGATGTTCTCCGTCTTCTACCCAGATGCAGCCATGTGTACCACCGCGATTGCATCGATGTCTGGTTTGCAACCCATGTGACTTGCCCTGTTTGCCGAACAAATCTCGCCGCCGAAGATCAGGATCAGCATCCGGAGATGGTTGATGTGGTGGCGATCTCTGTTGAGGAGGTGGTGGACGGCGAGGATCGGCATCCGGATCTAGAGGATTTGGTGAGGATTGGGAGTCTGAGGAGGGAGGCGAGAACAGGGTCGGTGAAGAGGGTTCCGATGAGTTCGCTGTCGACAAGAGATTGGGCCGCGGTTGTGGCTGCCGCCGGTGGTGAAAGAGGGGAGAGGTTTAGGCTGCGATTGCCGGAGGATATCAGGCGGGAGATCATGGCGGCGGGGGTGGGAAACTTCGTCGGTCGGCGAGCTACGCGGTTTTCACCTGGAGAGGAGAGGGGAGCTCGCGAAGGGGGTACAGGGAAGGGTTTGGTCGTGGATGGCGAAGCTTGAGGTTAGGAAGCTCAGGGCGGTGGCCGATTCTAGGGAGGAGTTTCTCGGCGAGAGCTCCGGCGGTGGCGGCGGATGAATCAGTTTCCGGCACGGCGAAGGGCGGGGGGGGTGGCCCCGCTATTGGGGGCAAC